TCTCTCTCTCTCTCTCTCTCTCTCTCTCTCTCTCTCTCTCTTTCTCTCTCTCTCTCTCTCTCTCACCGCCACGCGTCTTTTCTTTCCATTCTTTCAGACTTGTTTCCGGAGAAGGCGGCGGCAAAACGGAAGGCGTCCGACGGCGAGAAACAACGGAACGTCCCTTCGAAGCGCGGCAAGTGGCAGCGACCGGGCGAAACAAGCGAACGTCACGGCGGAGGTCGTGGCAGAGGTCAAGACAGAGGTCGTGCTGGAGGTCAAGACAGAGGTCGCAGTGGAGGTCGTGGTGAAGGTCGCGGCAGAGGTCGCAGTGAAGGTCGTGGCAGAGGTCGCGGCGGAAGTAGGGGTTCCGGTGACGGCAGGCGCGATCCAAGAAGTTCGAAGTTCGATCCAAAGACAAAGGCCTCCGGGAAGCGGGGGAAAGCGCCGGGGAAATTTGGGAGGGGTGGTAGAGGCAGAGGAGGAGGTGACAGAGGAAGCCGGAGAGGTCGGGGAGGCGGGGTCACCCGGTAACAGGACCGTACGTGACCAGGGGAAGCAAGAGGAGGCTGGGTTGCCACAGTAACAGGACCTCACGCCACGATGGGAAGGAGGAGGAAGCTGGGTTGCCACGGTAACAGGACCTCACGCCATGGTGGGAAGGAGGAGGAAGCTGGGTTGCCACGGTAACAGGACCGCACGTGACCATGTGAAGCAGAAGGTGTGGTTGCCACGGTAACAGAACCTCACGCCACCAGAGGAAGCAGGAGGCTGGGTTGCCACGGTAACAGGACCTCACGCCACCATGGGAAGCAGGAGGACGCTGGGTTGCCACGGTAACAGGACCTCAAGCCACCATGGGAAGCAGGAGGAGGCTGGGTTGCCACGGTAACAGGACCTCACGCCACCATGGGAAGCAGGAGGAGGCTGGGTTGCCACGGTAACAGGACCGCACATGACCAGGTGAAGCAGGAAGAGACTGGGTTGCCATGGTAACAGGACCTCACGCAATCCGGGAAACCAGGAGGCAGTGGGCTTGCCACGGTAACAGAACCACACGCGACTAGCGGAAGCAGGATATGGGGTTGCCATAGTAACAAGACCACACGCGACCAGCGGAAGCAAAAGGAGGTGGGGTTGCCATGGTAACGAGATGGAAAGTGGTGAGGGGTCACGAGCTCTTCCTTACCGAACCCCATCTGCCATCTGTACATGGCAGGGGAGGAGTATCTCTGTTATCTGTACACATACAAGCTCAATCACTGTAGACACGTGTACGAACGGAGTACCTATGTAGGGCGGGGGAGAGGGTAATAGAGAGGGGGTCTGTGAGAGAGAAGGTGCAAGAGAGAAAGGGAGAGAGAGAGAGGGAGAGAGCGGGAGAGAGCGGGAGAGAGCGAGAGAGAGAGAGAGAGA